GGAAAGCTGCCGGCCCCTGTGTGGCTCCCTCTCCCTCCCCCTTCTGCCTACGGAAGGCCGGGAGCGGCTGGCGCTGAGCAGAGCGGCACGGGGAGCCGGGCTGCCCCACGCTCCGCCGATTTCCAGGTCATTCCTTACGGGAAGGTGCTCTCCAAGAGAAAGCAGGAGCCTCCCCGGTGCCAGGCCCAAGCGGAGGCACCTTGAACAGGCGGCCGTCGCATCGGGGCGGATTACGGCATCTCCAGGGCGAGGGAAATCATGCAAAAAATGCCAATTATCACCTCTGCGCCGTGTGCTGAACGGTGCCAAATTCCGAGCAAGCTGCTTTACAGCCCAGTGCTGGGGGAGACCTTCTCCGTGCAGCGACGGATCCGCACCGCTTCCCTCCGGAGCGCGGGCTGGGATTCTCCTGCCCTTCTCTCTTTGCAGTGGAAGACCTGGAGCGCCACGACGGCTCCACGGAAAAGCCTTACTTCATGTCGCCAGGCCTGCAAAAGCTGCTGAAGAAACGCAACAAAGGTCACCCGGATGCATAGCCCCTTCCCGGCCTCCCCTTCCCGCTCCCGGAGCGGAGCCGCCTGGATCGCGTGCAGCACTAAGCGGAAACGTTGGGAACAGACCCCAAACCGTGGTCCCCGTCACCCATTTTCACCCATAGCAGCTCCACGAGGCGGCAGAGAGAGGGGTTATCTGGAGGAGGTTTCGCTCCGTCCTCACATAGGATGTACGGCTTATTGCCAAGGATTCAGCAAATCCTTAAAAAAAGGCGGGAAGAAAGGGAAAATTACCAAATTCAGTTATCCTAGGTTTTTTTTAAAGCAGATGCCAAGCCCAACATGAAATTACCTCTTAGTGCTCAACTAAATCAAGGTGCTGCAGCGACCAGCAGGCAGATCCAACCCCCGGCAGCGAGGCCAACCTTTAGCATTTGAACCTTTTTGCCCCAAAATAGATTTTAGAGAAGTTGATTCGCACACAGGGAGCTCCGGGCAGTGGCAGGGCTGGCTTTCCACACTGCTTCAGGAGCCACTCGGGCTTTTACTGATCACGGGGTAGGAAATTTAGTTCTTTTGGGGGTCGTTAATTAACAGTCTCACCCTGCAGAGGAGCAGGGAGAGGAAACGACTGGGGAAGGGCTGAGATTTGCGCCCAAAATTTGGCAAAGGCTGAATGTCCATCCCAAGCGCATGTCCGGATGCAATCGGGAACGGACAGACAGACGGATGCGCCGGGTATCCCTTTCTAAAACAACCGGCAGTCAAGAAGCTTTTACTAATTCCCCCAGGAAAAAAAGTAATCCTGTATTATGTGATTTTTTTTTTAATTGCAGTTTTGCGGTAAACGGCCCTGAACCGGCACGATGCTATTAGCTAATTGTGTCTAACAATGTGAAGGGTTTATGCCCCGCTCCCCGATGCTTGCTAAAGGAGTAATTTAGCCCCGTTAATTAACTTAAGGCAATTTTAAACGCGCCAAATGACTGAGCACCGTCGCCTTATGCTCCTAGATGCCACAGCACTCTGAACTTGCAGCTCAGTGCCCTTTTTCCAGTGGGAAAGTCCAGATCTTTGGCAGATTCCAGGAGAAAACAAGGAGATTTTTGAGGGAATGGAAGGAGGGTAGAGCGGCACCGTGCCAAGCGCTCGGAAAAACCGGCGCTGGGGCCAGGAAGCAGCGTGGAGCTCTGCGCAGGTCTTCATTTTAATCCAGAATGTGCAAAAACTCCTACGTTTGCATGTGGTTAGCCACGCTGAAGGATATATTTAGCTTTTTATACCTATTTCCAGTAATCTTTAGGCCCCTGTAGTGTTTTTGTAAGACACAGGGAATGTTTTATATTTGAACTATTAAGTGTTTTGGGGGGTTTGTACATTTTTTTCCTAGTTGCTTCCCTGTAGTGTCAGTACGGCGCAGGCCTGGTGCTCCCCCCGTTAATCGCCACAGCCATTAGGGTGGATGGTGTCTCAGACCGGCGTTTGTGACCGATTTTTAAATATATTTGGTTTTGTTTGTCCACCAACACCCTTGGTTTAGTGTCTACCTTACCACTGTCTGGGTTTTAAGCTAATTTTTTTTAATAATTACTCTTTTCTGCCTTGTTCTTTACTTTCGCCCTCGCAAACTGTGCGCACTCCCCTCTGTCCCCTGAGATCAGGCAGGGATGATCCCGCAGTGGCCAAGTGCCACTGCCGAGACCTGCGGGCCGGTGTCTGGAAACGCTCCTTCCTTTTCCGTAACGTATCCCTCCGAGGCATTAACTGCTCATCCTATGTCCCGGGGCGCCTATGCAAGCGCATTCCTCTCGCTGGGACGTACGTGTGTTTTCCCGATGTCGCGCGCGGTCCTTGTATCCATGTCGCCATTCCGACCACCAATAAAGTGCCTATTTAGATCTCATTTTCCACGCAGCGATTCCTCCGGGTTTCCGACCTCGCAGCGAGTGCCTCATTGCGCTCCGGGCGCAGATCCACGTGGAGATGCCCGTTCCCTTGGTTTTAATTACCTGATCTGGTAAAAAAAGGGAAAAGAGCATTTTCGGGTGAGCAACCATGCGGTACAAAACACGCTGCTGCTTCCTGCAAAGCAAGAAAAACCCAGGGTAGTCGGTTCCTGTTCAGCACCGCTCACTGAAAACGCAGCTTTTGTCCAAAACGTGTGTCAGCCCCGCTGCATTTCTCATGTCTCCTGCCCAACAGTGCGTGACAACGTGCACGTCACCGATACCGCCACTCCTTGCCCCCAAATAGACCATTGCATTTGCCTTGGCCCACACCACAACGCAACCCCTTCCTATTCTCAGAGTTTGCGGCTTAGAAACTTTATTTTTCTCAAACGGCCGTAAGATACAGCCTTAGGACCAAGGGGTAGAGCACTCCTGACCATGAACCTACCAAGTTTCATAGGCTTTTCTCCTCGGGAGCTAACGTTCATTAGGAAGGCTGTGATTATTTAGGTTTCATGGCTGAGTTGAGCCAAAAGCCATTTTGGAGCTCGTTCCCTCCTGCATCTTAACCGGGGAGGAAACCACGGGTTCATTCTGCTTCTGACGGTCCCAGGGCAACTTCGAGGTGTTTAAATGGGGGTTGCGGGTCCCTTCCACATCCCTGCAAGGCGGGCGGCTCCGGGGCATCCCAGCCGGCTCCAGGGCATCCCGGCCGGCTGGCACCCTCTGCCGCCGCACGCGCACATCGCAGGCCTCGCGCAGCCTCCGGAGGCTGCGATTCCCACGAGGAAACCTCGGGAAGCAGTCGGCAGGGAAGGAGATCTTGATGCCATGATCCCCTCTCCGCGTTCCCGGATCCGCTCGGGGTGCTACAGTCCCCTTCCGGGCTCTGCAATCCCCACGATTCCCTCAGGACACTGAGATCCTCCTCAGGGCTTCATGATTCCTGTCGGGGCTTCGCATCTTCCTCAGGATTTCACCATCTCCTTTGGGATCTCACGATATCCCTCAGGATCTCATGATCCCCCTCAGGATCTCACGATCCTCTTCGGGATCTCAGGATCCTCTTTGGGATTCCATGATCCCCTTTGGGATCTCACGATCCCCCTCGGGATCTCACGATCCCCTTCGGGATTCCATGATCCCCTTTGGGATCTCACAATCCCCTTCGCAATCTCGCGATCCCTCTCAGGGCTTCGCCTTTTCCTCAGGATTTCACCATCTCCTTTGGGATCTCACGATATCCCTCAGGATCTCATGATCCCCTTCAGGATCTCACGATCCTCTTCAGGATCTCAGGATCCTCTTTGGGATTCCATGATCCCCTTTGGGATCTCACGATCCCCTTCAGGATCTCGCGATCCCTCTCAGGACTTCGCATTTTCCTCAGTACTTCACAATCCCCTCCAGGATTTCACAATTCCCCTTCAGGATTTCACGATCCCCTTCAGGATCTCGTAATTCCCTTTGGGATTTCACATCCCCCTCAGGGCTTCACATTTTCCTTGGCACTTCACAATCCCTCTCAATGTTTCACAATCCCCTCAGGGCTTCACATTTTCCTCAGCATTCCACATTTTCCTCAGGGTTTCCCTCAGCATTTCGCATTTCCCTCAGAGTATTCCTCAGGGTTTCAAATTTTTGTCAGGATTTTCCTCAGTGCTTCCCATTTTCCTTAGCGTTTCATGTTTCCCCCACGGTTTCCCTCAGCGTTTCCCCTTTTCCTCAGGGTTTCCCTCAGCATTTCAGGTTTCCCTCACAGTATTCCTCAGGATTTCACATTTTCCTCAGGGTATTCCTCAGGGTTTCCCTCAGCATTTCAGGTTTCCCTCACAGTATTCCTCAGGATTTCACATTTTCCTCAGGGTATTCCTCAGGATTTCCCTTTTCCCTCAGCATTTCCCTCAGCGTCTCCCCTTTTCCTCAGGGTATTCCTCAGGGTTTCCCCTTTCCCTCAGCGTTTCCCCTTTCTCTCAGGGTATTCCCCAGGATTTCACATTTTTGTCAGGATTTTCCTCAGCGCTTCCCATTTTCCTCTGCATTCCACGTTTCCCTCACGCTTTTCCTCAGCGTTTCCCATTTCCCTCAGCATTTCCCGTTTCCCTCCACGTTTTCCTCAGGCTTTCCCTTAGCGTCTCCCCTTTTCCTCAGCGTTTCCCTCAGTGTCTCCCCTTTTCCTCAGAGTATTCCTCAGGATTTCACATTTTTATCAGGATTTTCCTCAGCGTTTCCCATTTTCCTCCACATTTCCCATTTTCCTCCGCATTTCACGTTTCCCTCACGCTTTTCCTCAGCATTTCACATTTTCCTAAGTGTTTCTCTCAGCGTTTCCCCTTTTCCTCAGGGTATTCCACAGCATTTCACCTTTTTGTCGGTGTTTCCCTCAGCGTTTCCCCTTTTCCTCAGCGTTTCCCTCAGTGTTTCCCCTTTCCCTCAGGATTTCACATTTTTGTCAAGATTTTCCTCAGCGCTTCCCATTTTCCTCCGCATTTCATGTTTCCCTCACGCTTTTCTTCAGTATTTCCCCTTTTCCTCCGCGTTTCCCTCAGGATTTCCCCTTTTCCTCAGCGTTTCCCATTTCCCTCAGCATTTCCCGTTTCCCTCCACGTTTTCCTCAGGCTTTCCCTTAGCGTCTCCCCTTTTCCTCAGGGTATTCCTCAGGATTTCCCCTTTTCCTCAGCATTTCCCTCAGTGTCTCCCCTTTTCCTCAGGGTTTCCCTCAGCATTTCCCCTTTCCCTCAGGGTTTCCCTCAGGATTTCACATTTTTGTCAGGATTTTCCTCAGCGCTTCCCATTTTCCTCTGCATTCCACGTTTCCCTCACGCTTTTCCTCAGCGTTTCCCATTTCCCTCAGCATTTCCCGTTTCCCTCCACGTTTTCCTCAGGCTTTCCCTTAGCGTCTCCCCTTTTCCTCAGCGTTTCCCTCAGTGTCTCCCCTTTTCCTCAGAGTATTCCTCAGGATTTCACATTTTTATCAGGATTTTCCTCAGCGTTTCCCATTTTCCTCCACATTTCCCATTTTCCTCCGCATTTCACGTTTCCCTCACGCTTTTCCTCAGCATTTCACATTTTCCTAAGTGTTTCTCTCAGCGTTTCCCCTTTTCCTCAGGGTATTCCACAGCATTTCACCTTTTTGTCGGTGTTTCCCTCAGCGTTTCCCCTTTTCCTCAGCGTTTCCCTCAGTGTTTCCCCTTTCCCTCAGGATTTCACATTTTTGTCAAGATTTTCCTCAGCGCTTCCCATTTTCCTCCGCATTCCACGTTTCCCTCACGCTTTCCCTCAGGATCTCAGGATTTCCCTTTTCCCTCCGCGTTTCCCTCATGCTTTTTCTCAGGATTTCCCATTTTCCTCCGCGTTTCCCTCAGGATTTCCCCTTTCCCTCCGCGTTTCCCTCATGCTTTTCCTCAGGATTTCCCGTTTCCCTCCGCGTTTCCCTCAGGATTTCCCCTTTTCCTCCGTGTTTCCCTCATGGTTTTTTCTCAGGATTTCCCATTTTCCTCCGCGTTTCCCTCAGGATTTCCCCTTTCCCTCCGCGTTTCCCTCA